ATCATTGTTCCAGTCAATGAAAGTAGAGATGGACCAAATAACCAAATCGATGATACTGTACTCTGATTTAGAGAGATCAAATGGTAAAGCCAGGTCAAATAACTTACCTGCTTTGGTTGGTAAACAAAATTTTGTTAGAGGAAAAGGAACTTTTTTTTTCCCCCAAAGGTGATCAAAAACAAAAAAAAAAATAACAGGTAAATTTTTTCAAGCCTCTTCAATAGTTTCATTTTTTAAATAAATGAATATTGACATTTACAATCATCTAATAGATAGAATAGATATATGACTATGTTAGTTTAAATGTGCAAGAGCCTAAAATGACTTATTTAATGCAAGTATTAAAAAAAAGGAAAGTATTATTGGGTGCATATTAATTACTTGAACACATTCCAAGTTAATTGCCTCTGTTTGGGATGGAAAATATTTCCAGATACCCTAAGCATACTTTCTCTTGCTTTTGAATCGATGGTAAAACTCTTTTTAAAAGCTTTCTCATGATATTTGAGAACACCTTAATTCAGCTATGACAAATCTGAAAAACCTTTGCTAATTGACCCACTCTGTACACAGAATTCCTAGTTTGGGACACTGAGTAGGAAACACTTTTGGTTCACTGCATCAGTATTTGTAGCAGTATTGCTAGACATCAGACAACACTTTTACCCCTACACCAAATGCAGTGAAGGCCTTAAATCATAGTCATTTTCTACAGTAAGAATTGATAATTACACTTAATTGTCTTCCAGCAACCAATGCCAGATTATGAAGTACATCACTTCAGTGTTAGCTACATTCTCTTACACAGTCACTTCAGTGCTGTTGTGCTGGTAAATTAAATCCTAACAGATCTTAAAGTGTTAAGACTAATTGTGCAGTTACTCATCCCCTTGCACAATATCTTTGAAGAAATGATGTAAAAAAAAATTAACATTCAGGAAGAAATGCTGTAATTAGTGGCAGTTAATACAGTTAGAAAAGTTGGTCAGTGCCTATAGACTTTCTTCTTGCCCTTTAGGTTTCCCAATTTTTCTCTTCAAATTGATAAGGCACTACATACAAAAAATAGTGAATCTGGGATATAACTTGCACTTTCTATGCCTTAAAGCTTAAGCCTAGCCTTAAATAACTTAAATAATTAAATAAATTAAATAATTCTAGGCCATGTGATGCACCACCTTATTATAATGTGCAAAATTCAACATCATTCTTAATCATAACCTTTTTGAGAAGGACAGGTAATTGATAGCAATTCACAGTTTTCTAAATGCCTAAGCAATCTATTTCTCGTAGTACAGCAGAACTCCATCATAACAGTGGTTTTGGGGAACGCAGATAACACCAGCATGAAAGGATGTTCTTGTTAAAGTGAGAGGCATGCACTATAAGTTACTCTGGGGAACATGACTTGTTACATAATAAGCTTGAATTCATGGACCAAGCTGGTGGTGCTTTCTAATAGGATTTACCGTACTTACAATCACTTGACTTTTTTTTCCAGAAGCCTTTTTTGCAGTTTTGGAAATAAAACACCATGTCATACCTTTAACTGGGATTCCAATTCTGTCTTCACTCATTTTCCATATTCATTTCAAATTGTTCTGCCCAGCCTCCACCCCATCACAGCTGCTTTCTGAATGCCAAGAACTACTTACTGCAACTATTTTTTCACCCCAGCTGTTCCAAGTTGCCTTCCACTAAAGATGAGTAGACAGTGTTACTCAGGGCAAAATAAAACTATCTAGGACAGTGATAAGAAACTGACTGAGGCATAGAGTTTAATTGTTGACTTCTTGTGTTCTGCCCACCTCCCCAAACACTGGCATATTCTATTCTCTGATCAACAAATTCCCTGTGTCCCTGACACTTTCATCCTGACCAATATATGTACTGACTTTTCATATGCACTTCTGGGTCCTATTACTTGTCTTCTCCTCCATCCTATAAAGTGGACTCCCTGGTTCCCATTGCTCACTATACACAGCATCACATTTAGTAATATGACTTTCCTCTGCAACTTGGTTCAGGATAGCCACTTCTTATACATAAATAGCCCACTACTGACTGATGCATATCTAACAGGTACACAAGTAATACAATCAAAGCAACATAATTAACTTCCCATTCATTATTACCGAATTAACATTGACATGCTAAGTAGAAGTACCTTGCCGTATGGTATAGAGGTAGCCTCAGAGTAAGAAAAAAAAAACTGGTTTCAAGTCCATCTTCTGACACAATTTAGCTGTGGAACCCTGGACAAGTTATTTAAATTTTCAGTATCTCCATAGGAAATTTAATAAGTCTAGATATTGCAGAGTAGGTATTAATATGCATTAGGAATAGGAATTTTATCCTCAAGAGTTGTTCTCTATACCAAGGAAATCTCTAGTAAAGGAAAAAAAAAAACAAACATGCAGTGTATCCCAAAAGTCTTACTTGAGATTTTCACTACTAATGCTTGAATGCTTTAAGACTAAAAGAATTAGTGCAGATTTAAGCTACTAAAGCTTAGGAAAAGCTTTAGTAAAAAAGTTATTAAAGCTTTAGGAAATAGGTTTAATACCTTAAAATTTCACTAAGACTTTTGGGACCTGTATCATGGTTCCTCTCCTGTTTGATCAACCAACTAACAAAACATTCAGTTAAGTTCTTTCTATTGGTTATACTAAGTATTTGGGATAGAAAGGAAAAGCAAGGTAACTTTTTATGCCGGTTTTATATTGACAGTAGTGATGAACTGAACCTCAAATTGTGTATCTCATTCTCTTATTGCTAAAGCCCTCTACTATGAACTAGACTTTCAAAGACTAAGCATAATACACTTTTAAGGAATGTGAATGATGGGGATAGATAGTGGGGGTGGGAGGGTATCTGACTTCTACCTGTAAGGAGCTGTATTTCTTTTACTTGTGACAGTATATCAATTGATAACACTTTAATTCCTACAGAGCATTGTCAGGAGAAGGAAGAAAGCAGTTAACTCAAGTCAGTGATCAATAGAATTTTAATTTTTTTTCTCTAAATGACTAGTCTCCAAAAACGTGGTTGATAACTGTTTATAAAAGACAATACTGAAACTTCATGAGGTTTCCCTGAGTACCAACCCACACAGAAGACCAGCTTTAATAGGTCATTGTCTGGGCCTCACCAAGGAACAGATTGTTGGGGTTGCCAGGGGTAACTCTCAGTCAGAGGCCTGTGGACAGGCCAAAACTGAACAGCTGGGCAACAGAGGGTTCACACTGTGCCTGAATATATATGGTGACCATTTATTGACTAATTTTTAAAAGAAAGGGCTGTGTTCTCGTCACCATGGTCAGCCCCATCACTTAATTTATATGTATAGCTCGCCTCTCTACCATCTGTGCATGCTGGCCTCCTCAACATCTCTGAGGGATTGGAGTGGCATTGTTTGAGGATCTGATTAAATAGCCAGGAAAAAGTCATCCATCATTTATAAGAGGGAAACGCAGACAGTTACAATGGTGTCCTGCAGCCCTTTAGGATTTTGTCTTCATTTTCTTTTGCTTTCATTCTAATCCAATGCCAAACATAATAAACACTGACCGTGAGTACAGAATTTACTGACAGCATTTTAACATCTAGGTGGAAGAAGTAATGAATTATCCAGTTTCCTCTAGGCAGGTTCTGGTAATGTATTAAAACTACATTACTGCTAAGGGTAGCCCTGTTCCCCCAGGCTATACCTACTGAAAAATAATCAAAGAGCCCAAGCTGAATGCTGGCTTCTGTGATTAAAGGCTACCTGTTGGATTATGGTTTTCCTCTGTGATGAGGCTTCCTGTGTGTAACTTAATTTGAGGTAAAATGTGCCAGTCTGATTCCCTAAGTCATCATCAGTGAGTCAAAATGTAGTGTGCATAGTTCTGGTTGAGTTGGAAGCAATTCTTTTAAAGTTTCTCTTCTCCCCCCTACCCCTGCCTTACTGTTATTATTCTAGTTGATTTTAAAGCATATATTTATTTGCAAGTAGTAACTTAGAATGCAGCATACACTAAATTGAAAAATAAGATATTCTGATAAGTTAGTGACCTTAAATAATGGTTCATTGTCTTATCCAATAGATAAGCTGTTCAAATCCCTATAGTTTTAAAGGTCTTCCCCGCTATACTGAACTTTAAAAAAGAGGGGGGGAATTATGAGTGAAATCACATGTGTAAGCATTATAGATGTGTCTCAAGTAATTAGATATAGAATGCATTGGATCTGAGTGCTTAATATTCACATTTTAAAAAATCATCTAAGACAATGAGCCATCATTTAAATATATTTAGCTTGCTTCTTAGAAGACTAATTAAAAAAAAAAAAACAAGGCCAAGAATAACCGAACACTTAACATTATCAACAAAAAGAAAACAAGAAAGAAAACATTCAGAATTTGTGTAATAAATACATGCTATATAAAACATCTACTAAAATGAATAATTTATGTTCTTTTATAAACTATGGTGAGGGAAAAATGAAAGAATTTCAATTTCCTTTTTGTTGAATAAGATTTGTTCTTTTTGGTATGTTTCTTGATTATTCCACTATTCCTAAGCAGTTTGTTTCTAAGTGTTGTGCCTTTGCAACACAAATTTTATATGAATGCTACAAAAATATGTTTTTTTCACATTTATCCATCTTTTGATTAGTAGAAACTACAAAATAAGATTCTTTCTTTCATTTGTTACAACAAAAACATCTCCAAACACAGTTAGAAAGAAGGCATTAATTTAACATATGATGTAGATTATTTCCTCTGAATATCTTTCAGCCTCCACTAGTCTGAGAGATTTCCCAAATTTTGAATCCCCTCCTCCAAAACTCATTTGATCAAGGAGAGTCTCTCTTTTTTCTTTAACAGTGCATTCTTTCATAACCCAAATAATCTTGAACTGGATCTGGGAGAGACATGAGAAGCATTTTGGGTTTTCTAAATCGAGTACTAATCACATTAATTACAAACAGCATTTCAAATGTTCTCAGCTTCTTACCAGGTTCAGGGATGATTAGCTGGGCACTGGTCTGTGTATTCCCAGCATCATTCTCAGCTACACATTGATAAAAACCTTCATCTGACTTTACTACTCCAAGGATCCGCAAATTGCTGCCACCCTAGAGAGAAGAACAAATGACTGAGATGTTTTTTAAACAATAACCCCAAAATCAGCACCAAATTGTAACTTCAACCAAGCTTTATTGTTAGTTTCCTGAATAAACTGGAAGAGAAGATGCACTCACTAGGTCTTAGCTTCACTCACACATCTTAAAAAACCTGAGTAGTTTCATAAGTATCTGCTGAATGTATCAGCAAACATGTGATCTGTTATTACAATTAAGTTTATTACCTTGAGTCCATGGACATAATAAAGTACAGACAATATGCATACGAATTGAAGAATCATCATTAGGTGAGTGACAGGCCAAAAGGTTGTAGCAATGACTTGCCTTAGTTTCTGCCCCACCCTCAACGATGAGGAGAGATCAATATCAACAGTTGCTAGGGGTGTGTGTGTGTGTGTGTGTGTGTGTGTGTGTGTGTGTGTGTGTGTG